TGGACATCCTACATGCTCTTTACTCGAACACTACAGGCCGCGTCAGGATCTATGGTGCCCTATCGGATAGCTTTTCGACTACAAGTGGCGTTCGTCAGGGTTGTCCGATTTCCCCGTTTTTGTTCAATTTCGTCGTGGATTCTATCATGGAGTGTTCCCTTGCGGAATCTCATGATGTAGGCGTTAAAGTGCTGCCTGGTGAAAGGTTAGTTGATCTAGATTATGCGGACGATATCGTGTTGCTTTTCGACGATGTTGCGGCGGCACAGTCAACCCTGAATAGCCAGTCCAGAGTGGTTCCATTATTTGGTATGCACTTCGCACCTTCAAAATGCAAAGTGTTGCTGCAGGACCACCAGCCACTTGATGACCCCTTGACGCTTGCTAACGTGGAACTCGAGATGGTTGATCAACTCACTTATTTTGGCAGCTGCATCAGCAATGATGGGCGCATGGAAACTGACGCGAGCTCACGCATTGCAAAGGCCAGAACTGCCTTCTTGAACCTGCGTCATCTTTGGCGACAGAAGGGAGTTTCCCTCCGTCTGAAAGGCCGTGTATACAAGGCCACAGTGAGGACCGTTCTGCTCTATGGTAGTGAAACTTGACCCCTTCGGTCTGAAGATCTGAGGCACCTTCAAGTCTTTGATCATCGTTGTCTGCGAAGCATTGCTGGTGTCGGATGGCACCAGCGTGTCCGCAACGATGATGTGCGAAGGCGAGTACTAGGTGGTGATGATCATGCTAGCTCCCTAGAACAACAGATAGCACTGAATAAGTTGCGTTGGCTCGGGCACGTGCTACGCATGCCTGGTCACCGCTTACCTAGGAGGGCCTTGTTCAGTCTACCAGGTGTAGGATGGCGCAAGGCTCGAGATGGACAGAAGTTGACTTGGCAGCGGGAAATGAAGTCACTGACAATTAAACTGGGTGCTGTTGGTCCGTCTCGCCTTCCGGGTTGGAGTCCACGTGACTCACCTTGTGCTTGGCTCGAGACTTTACAGGACATGGCTCGCAACCGACACCAGTGGCGCGTCTGCTGCCGTCTCCTAATCGGATTGTCTGTTTAAAGTGTGTTTGGTGCTGAGTTATCTGCGGGATGATGGCTGATTATGACGCGTGGCAGTGAAAGCCGCAAGGAAGCTGTCTCGCCGATGCCGCCTTATCTTTGCACGATAGCCAGCTGTTTGTGACGGAATGTTGTCTACACAAGGTGTAGGCGCCTTGACCCTGAATGTTTGCTTAGGGCATTAAGGTTTTGAGGTAAGTCCCCCTTCTCTCCCTCTTCTTATTCTTTATTTCATAGGTCCTCATGGTTGTATGGCAGCGAAGCATCAGTTCAAATGGCTGATGTACTGCTGTTGTTGTTGATGATTATATATATATATATATATATATATATATATATATATATATATATATGCACAAACATCCATTGTTCCAACGCCGGCCAAGAAGAATCAAGAGTTTGTTGTCTTTTTCGAAGATGCTCGCTTCAAGGAAAGTAAGGGCAAATCCGAACGCCAAATGAGTCAGTTCGAAGACGAGTAGCTGACGACAGAACCAACACTAACAAGTCAGCTAAGTTTAACGTTATAGAAACATCGATTTATTGTAGAGGACCGAGTTTGAGCACCCTACGATGCGCACCATGTTAGCCAGTTTAAAACGGGTGTCTAATAATACGCGTATTGCTTCTCGCTCTTTACGGCAGTCTAGCAACTTATCTTTAATAGGGTTCGCGCTGGATCCAGGAACGCTGGAACATATGAAAGTTAACGCCCATTAGCTTGTCAAGAACAACCCGATTTGGGAGAAAAGGTAGAGTGACTTTTGGTGGAGGGACAGACGCACATATAGCGCTCCGTATTACCGCATGATGTGTTGCTATAGAAATTGATCATGGAGCGTGAGCAGCGGCAAAGTGCGCTTATGTGCCGGAATAACGCTTTACATATTTACCATCAGCCAACATGCGTTGAGTCAAAATGCGAGTCGCCGGAGTAGTTGGAACCTGGGTGTTAGCTGAGGCCCGGATTTGAGTAGTCCGTGTATCCAGTCTGACGGTATTACGCTTAGTACTGGCCAAGTCATTATGCGGAGTATTGGGCCGCAAGTCAAGCTGAGATCGATCCAGAAGAGGGACCTGCGCCAACTCAAGGCTCCTCGGTCATTGCCGTTAAGTCATCGCATTACTGCGCCAAAATACCTATACACGTAAAAAATGTGACAGCCATACAATCAGTGCAGACCACAAGAAGTTAAATTGATTACTTTTCCTCTTCACTTCCACTGCAATCAGGTACGCCATTTGGCACGAAGTCGTTTGCAACATTGGGGACACACTACTTTCGAACCATTTCTACTCAAATAAAAATGCTGTTCCGTTGTGGCTCGCTGGGATTCTTGCTACGCAGGACATAATTTTGCGCTATGTTAGTGATTCAATTGCTGATGCCGTAAATTCCTGGGAAAACAGCGAGATATCCGTCCATACGCATGCACATGCGGTCACATGACTGGCTCTTTTAGCTGGACATGAGGGTTGGCACGGAACGTGGAGCAAGTTATTCACACACTAGGAGCAAGCCATGCGACGCTTTTGGAGCAATAGCAATTTCACTGGACACTACAACATGGATGTCGTGCGCCTACAGAGTTTATATGTATACCAGTGAACTGATACCCAACTGATAAGTGCGAACTACTAAGCAGGGGAAATACACAATATTGCGTGAGCACTATTTTAAACTGTTGGTACATTTTGGACTGAGTCTTTTCGAAGGAGTGTAAAAGATCCAACAGACACTTAGATACGAAATAGTTGGGCACGGAAGTTTCAGTAGGAAACCCGTGAACATGACGAGGCAAATAAAATGTTGAGGCTTTAACGAGAAGCGGAAGGTTTAACATCTCCCTTGCAAAGCTAATAAGTCTGAGTTGAATGGGTGCAAGTTCGATGTTTGTAGAAAGGAAGCTTAAGAATGAACCTGCGAGACGTAGAAGTGTAGACGTAGTGCGTGCGCACGTGAGTTGTGGATATCAGTGTAAGAGCGAAGAGTGTCCGGCCATTCCCTTTTGGGGGCGCACTCAGTAGCGATTAAGAAGCACTCACTACTACATCCGTACGCAATCTTCGAAGTTCAGGCCTTGGACCCTCAAGGTGTTTGTCTACAGGGATAAAAAGATCAGCCACGCTGACCAAACTGACAGCTGAATAGGTGCACGGTAACAGCATCACAGGCGGCAAAACTAGCAACCTCGAGGCCTTGGTCGGCAACAAAAGCTGGCCGTTATAGACACACTGGTCCACTACCAAGCGAGTAAAGGATCGAAACATCACCATAAGTTGAGGAATTTAATTGGATCAGAGTCAACCTCAGCCCGCCATGTGGTTCAGTATAGATAACGGTGTAACTAGAATGGCACCTTGTGTTTAGTGATCGAGCAACTAAGAATGGCGCAGACAACAAAGAATATCAAAACGACGGAAAACGCAAAGTAAGGGTGAAAATTCAATGACAGGGGATTGCAGCTAAACTTAAGTAAGGTGTTAACGCTTGGTCATTGCTTCCGACTCCTGCCAGCTTAACTGCTCCCAAGAAGACATTGTCCTCTGTAGTGCTCGCAGCTAGAATTTTAAGCGCACGAAATCGATGCGCGGTCACTGAACTGGAAAGCTTTCACCGCTACCAGCGCAAGTTTATCGTCCCTACACGGACCTGAAGGAAAATGAGGAATTGGCTTGCATTGTTGTGAGTCAAGAACAGTTTCGTTCCGGCACCAAAGATAGCGAGTTTTACGAGCATGATATCGCCCCCTAAGCAGACAACGCATGGTCCGATGGCAGCTGATCGACCAGGAAAGCAGTATAGACTAAGCCAGCAGTTAATAAGTGCAATCAGCGTCGCCTGATTAAGCGACTACAGTCACGCAGACCGAATGAACAACCAAGAATTCGTTTGGGTTATTTGTAAAAAGAGCGTAACTACGCTCCAGTAAAGATAACTGTGGTTCAAACTGCTGCGAAGGAACGATGAGCACTAGCCAATTAACTCAAACAGACTTGGTAATATTCAGCCATTAAGCTCTAGCAAAATTTTGGTTCAAAGTTATGCATAAGTGACTTCGGTTTCGAAGCAACAGACTTTTGGATCGCTGTCCAGCCACCTTTTTGCTTCTCATAGAGCTATTTTGACAGCCGTTACACTCTGCAACAGGTCGCTAGACAAAATTTCACATCATGAAAGCTCACTATCAAGTGACGCATAACTACTACATAGGAAGAGTGAGGTGATTGTCGCCGACGTTTAACGTCATCATTGCAGTGTCTTCATCCGGACTATGTCGACTTACTCTAGTATGGAGAACAAGACGAGCAGCAACTTACATAAAAAACTACATTGTGTATCCATCAGTAATGTCAAGAAACTCGCGGCTGTTAAAACCAAGTAGAACAGAGAAAACATTCGGTTACTCAAGACCAATTTGTAGCCGATTAAGCATCAGTTCCATGTGACTGATGAGGACTGAATGATGAAGCTAAAGTCAGGGAGAACTGCGTCCGTCTCCAGAAACAACGACTCTTAATAACCAATGAGATTACTGAACTGACGCGCTAAACCCGTGAAAGGGAATAAGCGCAACTGAACAGAAATTTCAGGTAGGAAATTCCATACAATAGCAAAGTGGAGTAGAAAAGGAGACACAGAGACTCCACTGCACTGATGAACAAGGTCAAGGGTGTAGCTGAAAATCAGGTCGGGAACCGAAAGGCTAAATCATCTGAACCTGCGTTTGTTGAGCAATCTTACGAAACTATCGCTAAGTATGAAACGAAACAAAACTCACGGATTACTAAAATTGGACAGTGACATCGGTACTCACAAAATCCACCAATTGGCGCAGACTTCCTGATTACATGGAATACTCGTGGCACTAGTATTCGTTGATCTGACAAGAATGGTCTGGAATCAGTGTGGCTAGTGCAAAACACTTACTAGTCATTTCAATGCTCTCGCATAGCCGTAGGAATAGCGGTCTTGCGTATGATGGAAGGTGCTCCGAAACAACGCGATAAATTTGACGGATTATCTCTTGCTCATTCTGTGGACTCAGTTTGCCAAATTCGACCTGGATGGCAGCCATGCCAGCTTTGCCCTCATTCCCGGGCACTGGGACCCCATAAACAACACAGACCAGATCAGGAGATATACGGAGGAGGATTGATTCGACTTCCTTAGTGGAGACATTTTCACCACGCCAACGAAAGGTATCACCAAGGCGGTCGCTGAAGTAGAGATAGCCCAAATCGTCTTGATATAGTAGATCACCTGAAGCAGATAAGAATTACAGCATAACCATTGCATAGTTAGACATGTAGGTTTTACGCGAGGCAAAATGATCCACTAGACACGCTAATTGCTGGGGTTTCGCCTGGCATGCGTTCTCCCTATAAAAAGCCACTAATGTCTGTTTAACAGCACTGCGACGAGGCGGATGTGACTCGCCTCCAACTAAAGTCACGGCCTCATGATTACCCAACCAACCCCATCCCCACCATAGACGTCACCCAACCCTTCTCACACTATCCACGCGATCAATCGCAATTGCAGTGGCACATATTCAATTTCGAATAACCGATAGACACATGCACTTCCACATACATGTATGAGCTCACAACTCCAAGGTTCATGGCTAACTTGCCCATCTTTATGCCTTCCCCGACATTTATTTGTACCTATAACATGCTCATGCCTACATAGGTGTGCCTCGCATTGTCCGAAGATAAAGGATTTATTTATTTATTTATAATGACAAAGAGTGAAACAAAGCGTAACCATTTGTGGCTACTGGGTTGGGAGTTCCAGGTTGCGACAAAACTGAGCACCTTGAACCGGGGCCATAGTCGTTTCGCCCTCAAAAGGAAGGGGAAAGCCACCTTATTAACAGCGAGTCACACCATCTAGCCTCATCAAAAGCGCGAATAGTCTACTGGATAATGAGACAATCATTTCGTCTTCCGAAGTGATTCGTGCAAACGGGGTGAAAGATTGGGCCCATTTCTCCATTAGTTAGGAGACATTGTTTGCAGGGGAAGAATAGTTACATGTACTTCGGAGCCAGCTCAGTTGTGTAATAGTAGGTCGCTTTTTACTCATTTAGTTACTGAATTCGATGGAAACCAAGTTTTGTTATTATGGTAGCCTCAGTGGATCAGGAACCTAAAGGCCAAGGGTTCTGATTCAACAGATGCTGCTCAGCGATGTCTGCGCAGATGTGGATGTGGTGTCGTGGCCACTTAACTGAATCTGGTTGTGACAGTCCTCCAGAGAGTAGCAAGTATTCCTGTACTACAACATAACGAAGCTGGGAAGTTTGGTAATATCCCGCCTGCAGTTAGTAGCTACTAGGTACCATAAAACTGGTTCGCTAATGCAGAGTTCTCCACTTTAAAGTATCTAGAAGCCGGATTGTTCAACCCTAAAAAAGCGGTCGCGTATGTTGAGAACAGCCAATCGCACTGAACGAATGAGTTCACCAGAGCAAGGCAGCCAAACCGGAGGATAACCGAACGGAGGGTTTCATTAGACGAACCAGGAATAATTGATCGCTCACGCGGCTCAGTCGATGTATTGACGACTTTCGCTACGCTTCAATGAGTCTTGTCTACTATCCAAGTGAAACGAACCCAAGGATATGGCTGGCTCCCATACGCGATAAAAGTGTTGATGTTCAAGAACTCACTACAGAAATACGCATCAAATCGATGTGAGCAATATATCCACCTGTGTTTGATGGTTCAATGTTGCCGGCTACGTCGTTTGTTCCTGAAATATAAGAGGTCGCGGCACCGAGACTACGATCGAGTAGGCAGACTGCAGTAAAATGATAGTATGCTGACTGCTGACAATGTGAGAGAGACCAATTTAACAACCCAGTGTTCTGAGGACAGCCTTTATACATTCTTCTAGAGACAAGAACCGCATCAACCTCATCCAGCCACAGTGACCTACCTGATGCCAGCCAGGTATCATCTGTTTTGAAGACATTGCGTAGTATCCTCTTCTCTGACGCTTCCTTGTCTGCATAACCATCGAAGAATCTTGTAGGATTGTGATTGCTGATGCGACCAACCAGTTGACCAGGTTCGTTTGGCGCGCATTCAATGCAAAAACCAGTTCTTGAATCTCTGATCGGTTGCTCAGTGTTCAAATCCATTTTGATGAGATTAATGGGATATACGCCTTTAACCAGTTGTGTGATGAAGCCGATCGCACCAACCTGTGCAAGAAAGTTTATGCATTAATCAGTCATCAAATGAACATATTCGGCTGATTATTCCAGGACTGATGTGACTGACGCCCATGTAAACGACGCGACGTACGATGCTAGTGGCTGCAGTTTTCAAGCAAGAGAAAATCAATTTTACCATGGTGGGGAATAACTGGTGTGCATCCCATAATTTTTGGTGGCTCTACAACCGTTCTCTTTCGTCCAGATTGCTACCGCAGTCGCCTGGATCTGTGACGCTATTACCATGCACCTATTATTCAGCTGTCAGCGAGGCTCATAGTTTTCTCAATTTGACCAAGTAAATGCTGAATGACCAACGTCTGGACAGCAGAGGTAGAGTTCAGATGTGAAAGCGAATGATCCAGGCAAAGGTAATGGCCGAAGAAACTGTTCTCTTTTACTGAGGTACATGATTCTCATACAGTTGCACCATTTTGACGACATCCGATTCTTGTGTCAAATGATTTCCGAAGGATGTTACTTAGGTACACAAAATTTCCAGATTAGCCTTGTCCTTAGTGGTCGCTCTGGGTCTTTCGTAACTATTGACTGTTTAACGGATGATTTAATCTCGAACTCTCAGCCAATTGAAAAGCAACTGACACATCTTAAATGTCCGATGATGTGACACATGATATGAGCAACTAGGTTGACATGCTGTTTTCTTGGAGACCCGACAAGAGCCCGTTTTCTGTGTGCCCCGTGAGAGACTGGAAACGTTTGCAGGTATAACTTGAAGGTGTTAAGGAACAACCGATTGCGACAAAGGAAGCGAGTGTAGAATGGATAACAATTTGCTGGATTCATTGGAGATCATTAGCGCTGGGCCCAGTTAGGCAACTGTTCGCATGAAAAATATCACTAGACCGCCATTCGGCACTCGTAAGTGGCTCACAACTAATGATTAGTTGTGAGCCACTTACGAGTGCCGAATGGCGGTCTAGTGATATTCTTGATGTGAACAGTTGCTTAACTGGGCCCAGCGCTAATGATCTCCAATGAATCCAGCAAATTGTTATCCATTCTATTGTGGAGGTCAGATGGTTTCACTATGACTAAGAGCCGGACATATTTCCCAGAACACCGATTCTGCCACACCGTTGCAGTCTTACGATTACTCGATACGTTATTGAGTAGTAGGGGGATTTATTGGGTATTTGGGAAGATGCATCGCCGCTTGACTCAGACAGGCAGCCAACACACATCCAGGAGGGCGCTTGACGGCCTTTTCGTCCTATTGGGTTAGAATCCAGCAGGATTCGGCAGGTGTACGCTACTGGCAAGTCGCAATAGGACGGAAGCGCCGTCTAACACTTTCCTGGGTGTGTGGTGGCTGTCTGTCTGAGTCTAACTGCGACGAATCTTCTCAAATACGCAATAGGTTATCGGTGACATGGTCATCAAATGGCAAGTACCTACTTTTTCCTCCAAAGATATCATTACTAACTAAGAAGATTGTGGGATTCACGGCACCCTAACAATTACATCCTCAGGAGACAACAAGGCCAACAGCAATATAATTACGAATGTGTAAAAATCGGGTATTGCCTTTCTTTCAAATTTATTTATGCGCCTCGTTGTAGATCCATATTCTCCTCTCTCAGACTCGAAGGGAGTTGTGCGGGGTCCGAGTTCGCCTCTGTTGATGACTCGGTTTCACGAAATCTACCAGTCCGAACTCAATCTAGTACACGTCCGCGCGGGTCACAGTCTGAAAGAGTCGGATCTTTCGTTTCGATTAAAAAGTGGTGCCAAAGCGAACACGTTACAACACATTCCGGATGAGGAGCAGACCACTTCCATTCGCTGAGTATGGAATGAAGCTGTTGTCTCAAAAACTCAATTGTGCACAACTGACGGTCTCATCGATAGGGTAGCAGTATTAGCGGTAGTGAGTACTGAGAATATGAGTCCCATTCTCTATGGAATCTCAGTAATCGTGCATTGTTGTGATGTCTCGTCAAAATCCTTGTAATCTCGTGATTTACACGTTGAAAATGTCACGTTCGACAAGAAAGTATTTGTGCTGGCACGGAATATCCCAATCATATGGATTTCGGAAGCTCAAGGTCTACCTAAAATGGTGTCACGATGCGCGGGTATGTCACAAGAATAAATGGGTTTGCGTGTTGTTAAAGAAACTCACCGGGCAGTTACCACAAACGGAGGTTGCTCCGAGTTTCAATATAAAAAGCAGCATTAATCACCAGTTGGAAACACAAGAGGGATTTTCTCGGAAATAGCCCAGAACCTTAAATACTTGTGGGTCAGGAATACGTAGCAGTCGGACGTATGTATCATAGGAACTGACCTTGAAATCGCAATTGATAATGCTGCAGTTAGACTCGGTGGCACCGTACAACTCTCCAACTAGAGGCACCTTGAACCGCTGCATGAATTGGATCCAAGTATCAGGACGTAGCCCGTTACCGTAGATAAGTCGAATTTGGTGTTGGGTATCCGTTGGTTTCGGCGGTTGTGCAAGCAGGTATCGACAAAGCTCCCCAATGTACAAAGCAACCTGGGGTAGAGTACAAGTGGAACACTGATCAAATTACAATATGGAGAGAGGGTGTGTATGAAAAATGGGCGATACTGTGTGCTTGCTACTTACTGATCCCCATCTATTAATGGAGAAATTTAGCCAGTCCTAGGACGTGCATCCATGCGCACGAAAATGCGCATTGGCAACTAGCTTGCTATTGTATGTTGTACCGTGTTAAACATCCGTGTGTGATTGTGAAGAGAATTTGCGGGGAACGTTCATGTGCAGACGTGTTCAGCTGCAGTGGTGCACTTGGAATAGCTTGTGCTGAACCTGGTGACTTGGAGGTGTGGTAAAAGTGGATCATCCAGCGAAAACCAGTCAATTAAGTACAGAGAAATCAGCGAAATTGAAATCATGTTTACCCAACGAAGCGCACCCCAAAATGGAGAATGTCGAATCCTGTTAGATAGCACGCAGCATTTTCTTGTATGGTGAACCGCGATTCAATTATCAAGAAGCAAACCGGGTGCAGATGTGCTTGGCCGGACTACTGTCAGCCCGGTTTGGTTGTTGGACTGCTCGTCGAGCTAGGAATTTCGATTGCAGTCGATTGCTTACCAGTTGGGGTAACATTATCAGAGGGGGCATGCGATGAATTGGATAAGAGGAATGAAGGCCATTAATTCGAACTTGGCTATGGTTGGAACCTTTCGGCTCCCTGGTTGGGGTCCGAAAGACGATGAACTTGTTTGGCTGGATACACCTGTTGACATGGCAAGGAGTTGACCTCAGTGGCGTTTGTGCTGTGAGTTCCATTGTCCCTCTCTCACTTAGCTTCCCTTCCAACCACGATCTCACTTACTAGGCATGGTGTAACTCTTATTTGTGGTACAATAGCCGAAACGATGTTCATCCGTGACTCAACCGGTGTGCCTCTTTTACATGTTTTTCTTTGCTTATGTATTGCGACAAAATAGATGTTTTCCACCTCTAGCTAACGCGTATGATGATTAAGATGATGATCGTCATCCGTGCGGAGTAGTTTGCTTCGCACCATCGAGGAATAAAACCTTTATTTATTTGAACTTACTGCGAGAAGAGGAAAATCGGCGTACGCGCGCATTTCGTACCGTCTCGTCAGTACCGAAAGCAGTAACGTGGAAGCACGTACAACGCTTAGATAGTGTAAACGAACATGAAAACAAACAATACGAAAAACAACGGAAATCATGCCACTATGTCCAGAGTAATCTCAGAGTGACCGAGAATTGCTTTTGAACGCAAACTACCGGTTTACTACGGTTTATTGCGAGAGCCTCAGCAAGTCGCAGGGGCCGAGCATTGGTATGACGCAGCAGAATTTTGGAGGTCGTGCTTACCTCGATCAGATGACCTGAGGTCAGTAAGTGCTTGGCGATCGAAGATGCCGATGGTTTGTATACATGTATAGTCTGACTTGGGGCCGTTTATGGTGCTTTCACGCAATAAACTTATTTCGGCACGTGCTCCTTCATTTGGGAACTCAGGGTCCTATCGCTTCTGTCTACGTAACTGGCTCCGCAGTTGCACACGACTAAAAACCGATTGCATCGTTTCGATCATTGTAACGGAAACGGTGAATTTACATTATACTGTCTAATTTTTGTTCATTTAAAATAAGTTCTACAATCCCTGAAAACCTACTGACAAATCGTTAGAAATGCTCGCTACCTCTGTCAAAAGGAGAAGCTCAAAAAAGAGACAGGTGCTTTCTGGAACACTGCCGAAACTTCCTGTTCATAACTTATGCGTAACCACCATCGCCAAACTCGCTGAGGTCCTCTACTCGGATTCCTGTAGGCAACCCAACGATGAACAAGGCAATGCATTGACTTTTAATTAATTCTCTTTCATTGTTAAATAAAATGCACTTCCCGCGTAATATTCTTCGCCTTTCATCTCCTGATGCAGTACTAATAACCAAGGCATGGTGTTTAACGGAGATGTCAGATACACTGTTTGTGATGTTGGTTTATAGTTTCGTAATGACCGCCCTTCTGGTTAAGGTGGTGGCTGTTTATTCTATGTCAAAGACATATACCTGGTTCTTCCTCTGGATAAACCACTCCTTCGGTTAATTCCTGATTCGTTGTGGATTACCATTTCTAGTTATCCAACGAATCTCTCAGTAGGTTACATTTACAGACCACTCGCATCTGCGGTCACCGTAACTGATGACTTGATGGACACATTTTCTTTTATTGCCAACCTCTCACACACTAATAAGATTATCGCTGAGGATTTTAAGATGCTAGAAATCAGATGGTCACTTAACAATAAACCACAAAAACGCAACAGTTTTATGTCTACCCTTGGTCGACTGGGGTGGGTACAGCAAGTCGTAGAGTCTCCCAGGTTTGGAAACACACTTGATCTAATATTTACTATGGGATGTTCGAATGTGTCCACATACATCAGTGGCAGACTACAGGGGATTGGTTACAACATCGTTGGCTGTTCTTCCCAAATTCTTTTTAAACCGTTGGAATCAGTGACTAAATACCGCCCATTCTCTTCTGTGAATTGGTCAGTCTTCACTGATCTTATAAGGTCTTCGAATCGGGATCTATTCTTCTTAGCACATGATGTACAAATGGCTTGTGATGAGCTCTACCACTGTATTCAGTCTTGCATTGAAGTTGTGGCTCCAGTATACGCTAAGATGTTGTAAAGGATTGTCGCGCTTGCAGACATCTCGGAAATGGTAGCCACCCAACTACGTAAAATAAAGAGAACTTTTAGGAAGACAGATGATTTTACTCTACTGATGCTCCGTGCCAGAATGCTAACAACGTTACATCATGATCATCACAAAATGTTATGCTCCGAGGTGGGCGCAAACATGACAAGCTCCATCTCAAACTTTTGGATCGTAGACAGAACAAGGAATCAAGTTATATCAACTCGATTGTAAACTCTGATGTAACTACCATAACAGAGCGTGCAATCATATGTTCGATGTTCATTGACTACTTCACGTCTACCTCTAGTATTAATACGAGAGAGGAACCTCAACCCAAGCTGATAAGCAAAGGAAGCAATACACTCCAAACGGTTGAATTCACACGTGGTGGTTTATGTCACCAAACCAGATTAATTCTTTCATCATGCTCACCAGGCCCTGACAACATCCCGCCAACTCTAGTCAAATAGGGAGGCCCAGGCATCTCCTTGTTTCTGCTTAATGTATTTATCTTTTACGTGATCAAAGGAGAGTATCCTAAGCACTGGAAACTATGGATTGTAATACCAAGACATAAAAAGTGGTCCTGTGCAACAGGTAGAAAGTTACCGCCCAATCCACCATATATCCAATATTTCCAGAATCATGGTGAGGTTAGTTAACGAAAGTATGATAGAATATTTGAGTTCTATGAGCTATCTCAGTAAATATCAACACAGTTTTTTAAAGGGCAGGTTATGCACCACCTGTCAGTTAGATTATCCTGATTATGTAACTAGAGCAAGAAACGCCGGGAGTGCTACCTTTGTAATATTGCTGGATTACCCAAAGGCCTATGCCCGTGTTCCACACACCTTATTGCTGCAGAAACTTGTCTTATGGTATCACAAATTTGCTTCTAAAGTGGTTGTCTTCCTACCTCGACGGCAGACGGGAAGTAGTCAGTAATGGTAACTGTACATCTGAAGCCATTTCAATACCTAGTGGATGGATTAAAGGAAGCGTGCTGTGTCCGCTTTTATACTAAGGCTACTTCAACGATCTCCTTGATGAAATTAGGTTCGGAAAGTTATTCCTCTTCGCAGAAGATGGTAAAATTGTGTATTGTTCTGACCCTGGGCAAGGTAGTCCTAAGTTGACCTGTATACAATCTGACTTGTCAGCGTTAAAGCCCTGGAGTAACTCCTGGAGGTTGAACATCGCCAATGACAAGTGTAATCCGTTGTACTACGGCTGTGACACTTCAACAAAGAGCATAACCTTGAACATTACTCCTATTCCTGTGTGTGACGAAGTTCGAGAACTTGGTCTTATTCAATATTTTGAGGCGTTATATTCTTGCAGCCTTCTGCCAGAAAAAGTGTCGCCTACATACACAAAACTCTTATCTTAGGGGATCACACGCTTCAAGCCTTTAAAATGTGTGTTGGCCGAAGTTTGAATACTGAACGCTTGTGTACGGAAATCTGAGGAATGTGGACATCAGAGCAATGGAAAACACCCGACGATCATTCACGATCAGATGCTTGAACATCTCTAACAGTATGACTTACCGTGAGCGTCGCGAGACGCCAAAAGTGCAGGCGCTATGGCTGCGCAGACTCAAATTTAAGCTGCGCTTTCTCCACCGTTTATTATTCGGCTTAAGCCTTACAGCTCACCCACAATTCCTAAGTGCTACGAAAAAAGAAACCGCGGACACATACTGCATATTCAAAAGTCTAGTACCAAGCTCCGCTCAAATTTTTCTCAGTAAAAATGACTTGACACGGAATAAACTTCCATCGAATATCAGAAACTGCTCTAGCTATCTACACTTCAAACGGATGATCATTGTTCAACTGACTGCTTCCAATATCTTGTCAACACTTAGCCGAAAGAGGATTATAGGTACTTTGAATGAGAAAGGTCCTGAACAAAGTTAAAAGTTGCAACATCCCCTAATTGACACAAAATCATAATTTCATCTACACCTGGATGAATTCCTTAGTGTGTATTTAATAAACGATTTTATTCCTACCACTCTTGCACTCTCGGCTAAGCAATACCGATTTTTTCTCTTTTGCTGCATTGTTACGGAGATGTACTACGCTTTTCTAACTGAAATCTCTGCACGGTCGTCGTTGTTCGCCAACATTTTCCGTCAAATTGTGCTTGGTCTAGTAGCAACAGATTGTACAGCTTATGTTTTTATTTCCGCATTATTATATTCTTCTTAATTTCACTATTGGCCACGACAGAGCTGATCTCTTGAGGTGAAGGATTGCAGATTCCAACATAAAATAGTATACCTATGCAAAACATACTGCGA